ATGATCCTTCAGAAATCATTCTAATATGCTGATTTGCTGCTCGAGAAACATTTCTGATTATTATCAACGTTGAAAACAGTTGTGCGGTGTCATATTTGTGTGGAAACTGTGAATCATTTTATTTTTCAGGATTCACAGATGAACAGAAAGTTCAAAAGAACAGCATTTAAAATTATTAATTAAAAAATACATTAAAAAAATTAAGATCCAAACTTTTGAATGGTAGTGTATATATAAACATATATGATAAAATATCTTAATATTTATTATGTACTTATTAAATAAAGAGTGTTTTGCATCATTCTGCACAGTCTGATCGATTTGTTTCTGCCTGCAAAAGTCTCAGTTTTCATCTAAACACACACTTTATCTTTATCTTCTAAGCTCTGAATTGAATGTCAAATATTAGTCTTGTGTCTTCAGTGTCAGCAGAGTTTCGCTCTCGGCCGCCGGTAACTGTTACTCAGAACTAATTTCATTTATCCTCCTGTGGTGCTGACAGTGGAGCGGGAAACACTCAAGATCCGTCTGATCAGTCTGATTCCCACCGCAGCTCCGCTTTATTGAGCAAATCCTCTGGGTTACAGTGCCTGAGATCAGAGGTCTCACACACACACACACACACACACACACTAACACTCTCACACACACTCACACACACACACACACACACACTCACACACTCACACACACACACACACACACACTCACACACTCACACACACACACACACACACACTCACACACTCACACACACACACACACACACACTCACACACTCACACACACACACACACACACACTCACACACTCACACACACACACACACACACACTCACACACTCACACACACACACACACACACACTCACACACTCACACACACACACACACACACACTCACACACTCACACACACACACACACACACACTCACACACTCACACACACACACACACACACACTCACACACTCACACACACACACACACACACACTCACACACTCACACACACACACACACACACTCGAGCACTGGTGCGGAGGCTTGGGTCTGGATGAGAATCTGGATCTTTATGAGGTCTGGATGATGCTTTGTAATCACAGCTGTCTTTTCTTCCAGGTCCAAGATGGCTTCAGTCGTCCCTGCGTGTCTCTTTCTCTGTTACATGAGATGTTTGGTTCATGTGTTACTGTTTAACTCAGCTGTGTTTTTGCCTCCTTTCAGCCGTCAGCCAGAGACGAGCGATTTCTCGCTTTACTTCAAAACCCAAGTCTGGCCAAATTTGCCTGTAAAGAGCCCCGCCATCAAACAGGCCACGCCCACTCGCAGGACTAGCCAATCAGAATGCTCACTAATACTGCTTTTCATATAGTCCCTCCCACTCCGATCAGCCCCTCCCCCAATCAATCCCACATATCCCTTCTTCATGTGGAGAACGGTTTCGCTAACTCTTGTGTCTTCTTACTAACCCCACAGCTTCAAGTTCTTCCAGTTTCATTTGGGTTTTGTTTGGTTTTGACTTGTTTGTGTTCCTTTGAAACGACTAACATTGTGTCATTCACGGAATGTGGGCCATCTGTTGTTTTCCGAATTAACTGACGTACTAACCAAAATAACAATACTGTTGTAATGTTTTTGTTTTGCTTGACAAATCCTTCAATGAAGAGATTCTGTTGCTTTAGTTCTGGATTTGGATCTTGATTCTCTTGCACAAAAACCACATTAGGAAAAGAGAGACTGAAGGCCGGTTTAAGACCGCCGCTCTTCAAAAGACCTTTATTGACGTCACGATTTGTCATTATTCTATATATTTTCTTTCCCTTCCCTTGTTTTTTTCCTAAAGCACTCAGGCATTGGACACGCTATGGTAAACAAACTGCATTATATGGTAGATATCATTCTAATTGTCTTCTTCTTTGGTTTGCCCTGGATTTCCGTTTCCTATTTCTATTCTGTTTGCTTATACTGACTACACAAATCCCCATTGGTATCAAGGTAGCGATCAGACTACAGATACTCACTCTTTGGTTTCACTGTCTCATTCGCTCATGGTTTTCTCTTTGTTTTGTCCATCCTGCACCTCCGCTCCAGTCAGGAACCACAGGCGTGACAGATCTCGGGTCAAACGCTTGATTTCTCCTGTTGAGCTGAGTCTCAGTCCATATTATCATTCGTATGTTTCTCAACAGAGTGCAATGAAACTTTAACTGTAGCTGCGCCTCCCCTTTACTTGACTTACCTAATATTATTTATTACCATCTGAACCGATTTGAGCGTTCATCTGAGTGACGGTACACGAGCCCAGTGGCAGGCAGTAAGGACGGAAGGAACTCATCCCAGCCAACAGGAAACGTCCTCAGAACAAACCAACAAAGGTCAATAGAACGTAAATAGAACGTTCATTTAAAGTTATCTGGTCTTTAATAACGTTTGCACAGAAACATTATTTATGCATCGCTCATGGAACGTTTTCGGAAACATTTTAGTTGGATGTCAGTCTAATGTTCTTTAAATGTTACTGCAGGACGTTCAGAGAACATTAAAAATTAACGTTCCAGTAATGTTTGCAAAATGATACAATGGAATATTTTTACAACCAAGATAAAACATTTGTTTTTTTAAATTGACATTTTGAACATTCAGAAAACATTAAGAAGTGACATTTTCGTAACTTAATGCGAATGTTAAACGTTCCTGGAGTGTATTTTTTGTGAGTCTGCGATTTCTGATTCACCGATATTGATTTTAATATTGCGGAAGTCTCTCAGCATCACAATAGCCTGCGGTCCATTAGCTGGTAATGACAGCTCTTTTGATATACGGCTCAAGGAGATGGTTGGCAGCCAGAATCTCCGTCTCTCCTGGAGCTCCTGCTCTCCCGGGTTCAGATAAAACACATCCCGAACCCGCTCTGATTTATTCAACAGATCAGGACTGACCCTCACTGTACCCAAGCCACATGCTTTTGGGTTCGTGAAGTCATGGAGGCTCACGCCAAGGTGAGTGATGATTTCATTAATGTACGTACCCATAGGACAACTAACCTAATTAATAAACATGAACAGTTCATTATTACCGGAGCACACTGGCCTCTATCACTTCCCAGGGAAGCATTATTGATGCCAGGCAGCACGATGAGAATCGACTGTAGATCAGACCAAACCGGCGCTGGTTTAGGATTCGTTATACACTCGTGCGGTGTTTAATAATTAATTAGCTTTCATTTGTATACTTTCCGTTTTCATTTGAATTTGGTTTTAGTAATTTTGTGCTTTTGTCATTTCTATTAGTTTTTGTTTCTATTTAGCTTTGTTTTTAATTCAGTTTTAGTCATATTAATACTTCAACTTAAACTGAGTTAAGTTTTTAAAGGTTTTATTTAAGCGTCATTTCAATTAACAAATACAATGTTTAATGGTTTTAATTTCTTTTTATTTCAAGTTTAGTAATATTAATTACTTAAGCTTAAACTTATTTACATGTAATTTTTGTAATATTTTCTATTTGTTTTTACTTCAGTTTTAGTCATTTTAGTGACTTATTTATTATTTTTAATTATTCATTATTTTAAACATTTAAGTTTAGGCATTTTAAGGTTTACATCTAATATTTATGTATTTTTAAGCTTTATTTCAATTAATTAAAACAATTTTTAATAGTCTTAATTTATTTTTATTTCAGTTTTAGTCATTTGAGTAATTCAACTTAATTTTTAATTATTCATAGTTTGTTTTTTTTTGTTTTTTCATTTAATATTTCCATTATTTTATTTCAGCTTTATTTAGTTGCACTTAACAATAACAACACTGGCGTGCGTCATTGTGCTACGGCTGTAGCTCTTTACTGCCTGTCACTGGACTCGTCAAACACGCAGCTCCGCCCACAGCTCCGCCCACAGCTGCGTGGCATGTGGGAAAGTTTCTGTGTTCATTAACGCTGATGCTCACTCAGTAATGAAACTCAGGCATGACGTCGTTCAGCAGAAACACTCTTACTTCGGCCCGGTGTATGTTCATACTCATGCATATTTATGATCTAACAGAGCCTATAGAGATGCACAAAGCCACACCCCTTCTAACAGAAATCATTGACATCAGTACAGACTTTGTGCTTGTGTTAGTCGGTAGGTCCGCTCTAAGGCCTCCTGATCTCGGGTCAGCGTGATTGACAGGTCTCCCGCCTCCCGCTGCCAGATCCTCCAGGACGAGATTATCAGCCCGGGCCGCTTGCATTAGTATGCAATCATACAGAGCTAATGAACTCTGGCAGGGGTTCGGCGCCCTAGAATAACAATGTTTCTGAGGCAGAGAGAGCCATGCTTATTGTGTTATTTGGCCCGATGCAGATGGACAGCCGTAGATGACTGACAGCTCACAGCCAGAGCCGTTTCCACTCATTTATACCCATGTGTGTGACGCTTCAGTGGAAACTCTCCTGTTGTGTTTTCTTTGGTATTCTTTAGCAGATGTGTGTGCATGCTTCCATCCGCTTGCATCTCGTCCACCCGCAGCGAGAGGGAGTCTGCGATGCACAAGCTGTACCGGCTTGCACGCAAATCTCTGGACTCAAAGTGCTCATGTTGTTGTGTCCCACCTTCAGATTTAACCCCTTAATCAACTAAATGTTGCCGCTCCTCCATCTGTGGCGTGCTGTGACTCCGTTCTGACTCTCTCCGCGCCATCGGCTGCGAGCGTTCTCGCTCAGACGTTTGTGTTGCCCTTCATTGGTTGCGTCCGCAGCTCATTCCCATTGACAGCATCTTCATCTGCGCATTCAACTGCATGGCTTCTTCCCCATGTCCTGACTCTTTTGGATGGTTTATTTTGTTTCCTCTTAACCTCAAAACCTACCAGACGTGACAATTCAGACCAATCTCTCTCGTGGAATCAAGTCACAAAGGATTTCACCAATTGACTGCTTTACTAATTGACTAAAACCCAAATTCTGTTACTAATCCGAATTAAACCTTTGTTGTAACTGTACTAACAACCATTTTTGTGTCTGACCTGCTCTTCTTTACTAAAGTACTAACCTCCAACCCCACATACGAGCCCCACATGAGCTCCTATCCTCCTCCTGACCCCTCAGTGGCACTAACTCATCCCGGATCCTTTGGCTAGTTCAGTCCTGATCTCTCTCCACTAGTTCACAAACTCCGTCGAGGGTCGATTTCCAGCTGCCAGCCACCTGTCGAAGGACTAGCGACCCGTCAGTCGCTTAGTGTCTGCGGTTATTGGTGTATTATTCGAGGGCTGAATAAACAGATTTTCATTGCAGCTGCAGTTTTGTCTTTGTTTTTGATAGGTAAAGGTAAGTCATTTTAAAGAGCCGTCTCAGGAAGGCCAGACGGCTGAAACTGCAGCTCTGGAGCTCAGGTAAGGACCATCACAGCGCCGTTATTACATAAAGTCAGCTTTGGGTTTGTATTCAGATGAAAAGGGGATAGCTGAGCCAAAAAAAGATCTTTCTGTCACAGTTTAAAGAACGTAAAATGAACATTTTAAGAACACGAAAGAAGATGTTTTGTTTTTTGTCCATTGAGTAAAAGTCAATGGGGTCCAATGCTGTTTGGTTCCCAGTGTTCTTCAAAATATCTTCTTTAATGAAAGTCAGCAGGTTTGAGCGGCATGACGGAGAGTGAGTGATGAAAGATCGTTCTGGGGTGAACGGCCCTTCGAGTCAAAATTTTGTTGTGTCAGTTTTACTCTGACTGAAATGGCGTATTATTGCAGTTAGTGCATTGCTAATATCTTGCAGTGTTTCTTAGTTTTGTCAAGAGTATGTTGAAATAGCTTGATTATCGTCACGGTCATTTCTTGTCTTAAGTGCTGCTGACGATCAAAACCCCTCCTTTAGCAAACATCATGATTTGATTGATGGATGGGCGTTGAGTGCGTGTCGCGTCCGCAGCGAGTCAGTTCTGTGTGAATTGAAGTCCGTCTGAATCTTGCCTGTGGTTTCATACGAACTCCACTCGTGAGAGAGGAAGATCTGGAGGAACTGTCTGATGCTCGAGATGCTGAACTCGCCTGAGATTCATAAGGTGTGCTGTTGATGTAAAAGCTCAGATTCAGTACGGTCTGAAGCAGATCTGAGGTGTTTCACACTCTTTAGTACGAAGGAGCATCGAGGATGAGTTCAGACTGATGCTGGAGCACTCAATCAGAGCTGCTGTTACTGGTGTTAACTTACAGTCCACTCACTGTATTACAAGAAACGAGTCTTAATATAGTGCTTACAGTCTTTATTTTGAGTCTTGGTCCATTTTATGGTTATCAGAGCTCTGCTTGTGTTTGAGCTCTGTTCACACTGACTGACATTTCATTGCTGAATGTTGTATTGTTTGTCAAACGTTATTGACAGCTTTTAAAAAACTGATTACAAATGGGAGGATTCTGTGGTAAAAATCACTTGTCATGTATATTTCATGCACAGCTTGAACAAACGTAGTTAGGTCGTTTGGCCGAGTATAAATGAGCTGCCGGCGCTCCACTGCATCAGTATGTAATAATTACTTCATGGCTGACAGGTGATCAATTCTGCCAGATGTATTCGAGCGGCCCGATGACAACAAGATGGAGCATTTTATCAAGAGAAGCCACTGCGGTGTGATATTGTGTCTTCACGCTCAGACTGCTAACAGGACTAGTTAACGTGAGTAACAAGAGTCTCTTAACTGGTTTGAGCAGATAATGTGGCTTCTCCAGTAACCGGCTGATATTGACAGCAGTGTTTTCTGTCTCATTGTGCTGCTTAGTGAGCTGTGGGGAATCTGCATCATTCAGCGCTTCAGATGATTGTGAATCGGTTTGTCTTGACAGATACTCTCAATGAGCTGCTTCACAAAACAGTCACTAAGTTGTGCGT